TAGGGAAAAACAGAAAACACAAATGAACAAGAAAGAAATCATGAAATGATGCATCAATTCTGAAATAATTAATGTTTAACTTCTGATTCACTGAAATACCTACAATGTAAATTGATGGAAACTACGAATTAACAGTAAAAATAATGAAGTTCTATATGTCAAAACGATAACGTAACAACCATAGTTACTCGGGCTAAGGTAAATCCCACCTTAACCACTCCCAAGCTAATTCCTTTAGCCTTTTATTAGCAGTGTGTTTCCACTAAAATCCACTAAAAAATATGTGGCATTTTCATACACAGGAATTATGTAGATAAATTAGAGGTGATGCAATTTTCATCGGTTCCTATAAAAGTACAATTGACTTCAAAGAGATTTATTGCAGAACATAAGTACAAGAGAAACAGATAAAAAGAAAATGCAAAATTGATATTTGAAGTCACTCTTCTGTATTGCTCTAACACATATGATGTTTAACACCAACCTTGGAAGGCACAGAAGTGAACTGGTAGTATAGCAGCAATGTCTTTAAGAAATACAGTATTTGGGCTTTGGACATTTGAGACCAATGAAAACTAATTGTACTCATTTACTACCTGTTGCTTTTTTTTTCTGCTTGGGAAAATAAAAAGGATGCAAGTATAATTGCACACATTTAAAATATTTAGAGCTCAGTATTCCATGGAATAAACTGGTTAAAATGTGGCCATTACAGTATTTTGCAAAACAAACAATCAGAAGACCAAGAAAAAAAATTAAAAGGAAAAGATCACAGTACCCAGAACAAGCACACATAGCTGTCACAGACTTGACATAATGAAATTGTGATGTGAACAGACTGTGGCAAAAGCTTAATATATGCTTTAAACATCTGCAGAAAGTAATGGGAGATATATTATTAAAAACCATGAACATGGTACTAAGGAAGTCCTTAAAACCTGACTTGCTTGTCCTGTACAAAGGACAACAAAGAACAACCACCACTCTAGAAAAGTCCCTGGGCTTCTACTGGCCACTGCTAGTGAAAAGACCCATGCAGTGCACCATTTTTCTCGTTCTTTCATTCAAAAATATAAAATATAATCTGATGGTCATCAGATACGTAAATAGGCTCTTGGAGAAGGCACCAGGGTACTTTCTGACAAAATGGTGACAAGAGGATTCTGAGATGTTTGGCTTGCTTCTACCCCTCCTCTACTACTTTGGTTTTAATTCTCAGTTGATTGTACTTCATGAACTCTCTCAACGGAGCAAGCTCAGTATATGTATCACCTTACAAGCAGTATGCAACCTGTGTTACTCAGTTA